ATCCAACCATCCTATTTAGATCAAGTGAGCCACTTATCGTTGGATCTAGATTCGACACCTTAGAGTATTTTATTTTAATTTTTTTGTTCAGAAACTTGTATGAAAATTAAAATTTGGTATGTACCATCTTCTCAATGAGCCTCACCTAAAACATATTTTAAAATATAATGACCAAAATACCCCTTGAATCTTTCAGGGGTATTTTGGTCATTTTATTTTATTGAGAATATGTTTTTATATTTATTGCAAGTGCGAGTTTAAGATCGGAGTGAATGTCCAAAATTTGGTGTAAACATAATTTGTATAAAAAAATTTAAAAAAAAATAGTGAAGAGACGTGACATTGTGATTGAAGCCATCTGTCCACGCAAAATGGACGGTTGGATAGGGAGAAGTATATAAATTTTATGCAGTAGGGGAAGCATAGAAAGCTTGCCCGTATATAAAACAAGAGATCAAATAACAACGCAGGTTTGAATCTCAAAAGTGGGATTTAATTGTAAAATATGAAATATATTGGATTATTTTTAAATTCCCAAAATAACATAAGTTTTTTATATAAATCTCCTTGATTCTTAAGAAAGATTTGCATTTGAAGATATGATATTTATGACGATCCCCAATAGAACTTGATTCTTATCACTCCATATATATAATGGCCTCACTCCATTTCCTCTACATCGCTCTGGGTCACGGTCGATTGGAAGTTTGTATTTCAGATCATTTATATATGATTTTGTCTCTTGAATTATTTGGAGGGATATATTTTCTTCCCAGATGTTATTTTTAATTGGAATAAACTTATATAAGGTTACAAACTTAAAATGTAGAAATATAGCTGCATCTCACAAATCTATTATAAAAAGTTGTTTGGATGTTGGAAAACCCTCTAGTTGTGAACATCGAGTTGTATGAATATGAAAAGAAGAAAAAAAAAAAATTGAGTATGCGAAATAGTGTATCTTGCAGCATATTATCTCGACCATCTATTTTCAATATTTTTATGTGTTTAGATATCTACTTGATTTGAATCTTTTTAGAGTTTAAAATTTTAGGATTAAAGATGAAAATAGCTTTTCAAGCCATCCTAAAAAAAAATTATATCAAAATTACATATACAATAAAATTAGAGGGGTGTCTTAATTGGATTGTTTAAGGTTGCAACCTTATGCAAACCACACCCTTTTTAATCACTCATGTCACCACCCTTGTTATCCTTTGAACATTATGATGATAATGTTATTCTTTTTCCTGCTTATTGCCCATTGACTTAAATTAGAACGGAGACTTTGTAAGAAACATGTCTTTGAATCTTTTTACCAATTTGTCAGGAGACTATATGGTATTTTCGGTATTTTCCCAAACATTATTTGATTTTTCAAAGTGTTAACAAGTTTTTCCCTCTAAATGTGGTCACCATTGTCCATGGTCCTTTGCCTTTGCCTACCTATTAATATGAGATAATTAAATTTGTAATTTGCTACAATTTGCCTTAGCTATCCACCTTAAATAATCAAAATAAGACGCACCTCTTAATAACGCCGGAAGATCCAGTTTTGGTATTGGAATTTTTTTTGATGGACTGAAAATATACAGCAATTCCCAATCATAAATTTCAAAGCATAGTAGAAACTCAAACCATCACAAATACTTGAAAATCTTGAAAGTGGACGGTCTAGATAATTTGTTGTAAGACGACTTGTTTAGAAATTAAAATCTTTTTTCTCTTTATCTTCATACATGTTGAGGTCGAAATGATCAATTTAAAAATGTGACATTTTTTTCAATAGCTAGCTACTTCGTTATCAGTTGTGCATGTGCGATTGTTTTCCATACAATTTCAACACATGGTGATACCCACAATGCATGACCGTGACCGTGACCGTGACCGTGACCGTGATTGGGTGACACCAAATTTCCATGTGGAAAGCAAAAAGACTTATCCTTTCAAAGCCATCTAAGAGAGAGAGAGAGAGTGGGGTCCTCTCCAAGTCTAGAGAGAGAGAGAGGCAATTGCACCTCCAAGTCATAGGATAGAGAGAGAGGTGTCATGAGAGAGAGAGATAGAGAAAGGCAATTACTTGACCTAATGACTAAGGCCTTTCTATTCCATTAATACGATGTATTAAGTTTGGATTTTTCTTTTTCTTTCGAAGGCAGGAGCCATTTCCAAAAGCAAGGCCCCTAAGTTCATTGTTTGATGTGTTATGTGTGTGGACTTTCTCCTTCCTATTAAAATTTGCAACCCCAATAGACACCAACCTGAAGGATAACTTCTCCAACGGAGGTGTACTTGGATATAAAGAAAAGAAAAAAAAAAAAGAATTTCAAATCTTAAGAATAGTTCATTTTGTAATATGTTTTTGGACGGTATATTACAAATTTGTTCGATCAAATTTTGTAATTAAGATTAAATAATGGATTTTCATGTTATCAAATGATAGTATTGGAACTTCAACCCCCCCCCCCCTCCCCGAAAAAGAAGAAAAAAAGATTGTCCAGTAGTATTGACCAGCATTCAAAAAATGGAGTCGATCTCAAAAACCGGCTAAGTGCTGGTTTCCAGTAATCAATAAATCGGCCGATTGGACCGGCCTAACCGGGTAAGTCTCAGCTAGTAAAAAAACTTGTTAAAAAAAATATAAAATACAAAAATTCTAAAAAACAAATGAAATGATATTTAAAGCATGATTAAAATAATGCACATCCAAATGAAGCTGAAAATTAGTAAAAAATAGATGTTAAAAAATTGATTTATGCCTATAGGCATTTTTGAATTTTTCAAAAAAGAAGGGGAAATGTAAAAATCAATATTCGGGGCCACAAAATTTTCCAATCTTTGCAAAAATGATAAAAAAAAAATAAAAAAATTAAAAAATGTATTACAAACAAATATTTTAATTTCTAAGATTTTATACAATTGTTTTTGAATTTATTTAAAATTCCCAGTCAGATTACCCAAACTGGCCAAAACCAAAACTGGCCAGCAGTTTCGATCTAACCAGTGGGTTCCGAGTTGAACCGGCTGATATTGCCTTCATTGGTCTTGACTACTTGTACATCACTTCTATAAAACAAAGAAAATTAAAGGGAAAAAAAAAAAGGGTGTGGTTTGTATAGAGCCTAGGTTTTAAACAATCAAATTAGAACCTATCTTCAAATAGTGTCAAAAAATGTGGTTTCAATATGGGAAATCTTCACGGTTTGTATAGAGCTTAGGCTCTAAACAATCAAATAAGAGCCTACCTTCAAATAGTATCAAGAATTGTGGTTTCAATATGGGAAATCTTTGTGAGAGCCTTAAAATATATTTTCATCTTTATTTATAAAGTTTAAAGCTTAAAAAATAGTGTAGAGCCACAGCTCTATGAAAACTTGAAAATTGACGGTCCAAACACTGTTTTCAAAACTTGAAATCTATTTTTTACTCTCGTCCATGCGTCATGATGTCGAGATGATCAATTTGAGGACATTTGGGCATCAAAACAGCCTCTTCTATGGAAATTTTTGAGGTAGGTTCTAATTCGATTGGTTAGAGCCTCGGCTCTGTACAAACTTTTCCCAAAACAAAATAGTCTGAGCATTAGGCTTGACTAGTTTTGTGCTGTTGTCTTAGATTCAATGCGGAAACGTAAACCCAGCCTTTGGTCAACCGAAAGAGGTTTTTGTTTTGAACCTCTTTCTAGCAAATTAGGCTGACATACCCAAAATGAGCACTGGTTGGCCTAATAAATCGAACTTTAAAACAAGATTCCTATAATTCAAGCCTATAAAATAGGGATAGCTTCGAAATTGGTAATCTCTAAAATAGAGAAATATCAAATCTAATCCCATATTATAGGGATTACCTTTGAATTAGAGAAGGTTTTGAATGTTATGGTTGTTACACTTTTGTTAGGCCAGTTGTAGATTCCAATTTCCACCTTGGGGGATGTTTTGACAACACTTTCTTCCCTCTATTTTGCTCTTCCTTTTAGTAAGAACTAGGAAGAGAGACAAAGAAAATCTCATTTTTAAACATTTTTTCTCTCTCTCTATATATATATATATATCTCATCCCCTAGGTTTCCAATTATCTCTCTCCCTTCCCCCTCCTCTCTCTCTCTCACACTTCTCATAGGGTTTCCTCAATGTTAAGATAATGGGGTTTCTCATTTTATTATGAATTTTATTTCCTCTAAGTAATTCTGGGGCTTTTCGTTTGGATCATAATTTTAGGTATCAGAGATAACTAAGGGAGATTAAGGTATATCTTCCTCCATGCTTATTTTACAATGATTGAGATTTTTTAATGTTTTTATGTATTTTTTTCCTACTAATTTTTCAACTCATTTGATTCAGTCAAACTCTCATCTAGATGTGGAATTGTTCCTTATTATGAGTTCATAAAATTTTCCAATATAATTATGTGGAATTGTTCCTTATTATGAGTTCATAAAATTTTCCAATATAATTCCATTCATGATACCTATCGGTGCTTGATGTTTGTCTTAGGTAATATATATAATATGTTTAGGTAATATATATAATATGTTTTATAATGCTAAATTTAGTTGCATACAAGGTAATGTACATTTTTTTAATCAATAAGATCAATAAAAAATGTTTCATGAGTATGATTTCATGCCTGAGAATCCCTTTATTGGGGATGTGCAAAGGATATGAATTGCCAATCGATATTAAATTAATGTTTTGTTTTTATTTTTATTTTTTGTTAGATTCTAAAGCCCTTGTAGCCTTTTGAAAAGGCCAAACGTCAAATATCTTCCAATTCAAACAAACATTTTTGCTTACAATAAAATCTAAGAAGAAATAGAAAAAGGCAAAAAAGGAAAAGTGGAACTAAAATGGGTTTTCATTGATGGGGACTGCAGTTTGGGTGGAGATGTAACATCTTCCAAAGTGGTATTGTCAGCTTTGCCAAAGTCTACGCTGTTTTTCGTCTCTTTCTTTTTGGTTTCTCTATCTTTTGTTAAGGAAAATTCAGGAAATGATTGTAATTCTTTTAGTAGGATTGGTCCACATTATCGTAACTTTTTGTCCATTATTTTTCTTTTTATATTTTTTTTTAGCTTTTCTCTTTGTTTGATGTTGCAAACCTTGTATCATTTTTTATTTTTATTTTTAAGTTATGTGCAATCTAATGCCCTTGATATTATACTAATCTAGTTCAATATTAGAATCATCGCACTACCCCATAGCATTATTATTTTTATTATTATTTTTGGTGAAAGTATAAAAGGCTAATACCCGCAACATCGAATAAAAATAAAATACAATTAGGTATGTCCAATATGTCTAATATTGAACCGGCCCATATTCCATCTCCTTTAAATCAAAGGATGGGTTTTTCATTGCATGGCACATAATGCTACCTTCTAAATGCATGCGTAGTAATCAAACCGGTAGAGCAAAAGAAACAATTGGGCAATCCGAAGTTAGACGTATAGGAACTACCTAATTTTATATAGTTCTAATTTTAAATACAATCCTATGTTGGAGACATTGGATCGGTATAATTTAAGAAAATAGCAAGTATGGAGCGATCCAATATTTCTAATATAATATTGGAACACCTCAGTCTGATACATGGGGCATCCCAAAAATGCACAAAAATAAAACAGTAAAAAAAATGCATCTTATGCTTGCAATATCAGAAAGAGCCATGAAGAAATAGAACCTCCATATAAAATTAGCTAAATTTTGGACTAAACTGCAATTTTGTTAGATAAATATAGTTGGCATGTAATTTTTCCTTTTTCTTTTAGGGTGCAGTTTGTATAGAGCCAAGGCTTTAAACAATCAAATTAGAGCCCACCTTCAAATAGTCTCGAGAAATGTAAGATGTACTTTAAAAATCTATTGAAAAATGTTGTTTTAATGTTGAAAATCTCTCTAATTGATCATCTCGACATCGAGATGTATGAATATGAAAAAAAAAAGATTTTGAGGCCTAGAAATAGTATATCAACATGTCATTGTGGTTGGACAAATTTCATTAATCTTAAACTAAATTCTTATAAAATATAATGTTATTAAACCATGTAAAACAACGGTGAACTTTGTTAATCATCTGCTTATTAAACAGTCTATACACTATTGTGGACATCTGGTACTCTTTAAAGATAATAATTAAAAAGCGAATAGACATGATAATGCAATATAGGGTAAGTGATTACTTAAATATGAAGATATCATATGGTGAAAATAGAAAATTTGTGAAACAATAATGTCGATCTCGACAACGATTGGAAAAAATGAACCAAATGCCTCAGAAATCATGTATCAAAACAATTATTTTGGACCATTTATGTTTCAAATTTTATTTTGCAACATTTCTGGTGGAATTTTGAGGTGTGGCTTTACCAAATATTATAAATACAAAAAATGTTTAACTTATGCCCATACGGATTATATGAAAAACTGGTTTAAATTGGCCAATCGTGGCTACATTGGCCAATCGTGTCTGGTTTCTAGCATAAACTAGTTTTATTCATGATATATGGCGGGAACCGGACCAACCTCACGGATTTTCAATCCATATCAAACGTTTCCAATCCGGATTGATGTTTTTTAAAACCCTAAGCGAAACGTGACCATTTGTTATCACCATCTAATGGGATCCAGTCTACTTCATGGCCACTCCTATGGTAAATTCTCTTTCCCAGAAAAAAGAAAAAGTCAAAATTCTTTTTCTTTTCTGTGAAAATATTGGGTTCCCAATAAATCTTCAAACGATTAAGTAGAATCCCAACAAACAAAAAAGGAAATAAGTTTATTTATGATTCAAATAGATCTAATCAACCGCTAACTACTAGGGGCTGTGTTGGAATAACTCAAAAATTCAAATCCCAAGTTATAATCAAAAGAGACCTTTTTTGTAATCAATGGCCAAGTACTAAGTGATACATTTTCACATATGAAAGAAAGTTCAATTTTATTTTTTGAATTTCATAACCGAGAGGAAGCCCAAAAAGTGGTAACTGATGCACTGACATTAATCTGCCATTTATCTCAACAGCAAGTTTATTTTTTTATGCCTGTCCTCCCTTTAAATGAATGAATCTGTTAAAGAAATGCTCAACTCCTTTCCATCAATATAAAATGGGGTGCAATTACAAAACAAAAAGAAACTCTCTTTGAGAGACAGAAACAATAGATATTATATATAACAGCGTGGACCTTGGGTTTCTGTGCAGATCCTTGAGCAGTAGCAATGGCAGGAAACAAAGCATCTCTCTGCCTTTTGGGGTTGTTTTTCTCACTCTTTCATTCTGGATTTGCCCATAAAAAGGTGAGCATTGTATTGGGTTTTTCATTTTATCTTTGTTTTTCGATTCAATCATTTTAAATGTTATTGCACTGGGTTTTTATTTCTTCACCTCTGTTGCAGTACTTTCATGGCCATTTCTACCATTTCTGTTAACATTTCTCAGTGTTTCTTAAATGGATCTATAGTGGGTAATTCTTATTTTTTCACTTTACAATCAGATAATATTCTGATTTTTCATCTTTTATTTTTGTCGTAGCCTTTTGTGGTGTACATGGGGCAGCATTCACACGCTCCTTTGGATCAGATTGATCATGCACGTGTGACTGAATCTCATCATGAATTATTGGGGACGTTTATTGGAAGGTAATGAATTTATACAGAAATGGAAAATTTTCAATCTTTGTATTTTTGTCGTTTTCTCTTTTCATTCTCATTGTTTTTCACTGTTCCATCAATTTTTTACACAAGAACTACTGATTTAACAATATTGGTTTACTGCTTATTTTTATTAGTTTTTAATATTCCATCTATCGATTTTTCAATACAAATTTAACTAACAATGCGCATTGGTTTCTCTTTGTAGTAAGGAGAAGGCAAAGGATGCCATCTTCTATTCCTATACTCTTAATGTGAATGGTTTTGCTGCTAATCTTGAAGAGGAAGAAGCTTTGGAAATATCAAGTAATTATAATTCATTCATTTCTTCGTATTATTTTTCATTGGCTTTTCTATTTCAATCAAATAGATTTTGTGTTCATTTGATTCTATTTTACTTTTTTTGTTTCTCTTTTTTTTTAGAACATCCTGGTGTCGTATCGGTGTTTCCGGATAAACTCCGGGAGTTACATACGACTCGATCTTGGCACTTTATGGGATTGGAACGCGATGGTCGTGTTCCCAAGAAATCGTTATGGCACCAAACGAACTTTGGCAGAGATGTCATAGTTGCAAACTTAGACACAGGTATGCTTCTCAGAATTCAGAAAGTAGCACTGTGCGCATGAACTTTTCAATCTTTGTAAGAACTATTAAGATATTGTTTCCCTCAAATTTTCTTTTTAATTTCATGTATTTTCATCATGTTTAAGTATTCTAAACTTAATTTCATGTATTTTGCATTCCTAATAAAACCAAATTATATCAAGTGTACGTGTTCATTTGCTTTTGTATTTTGTGCTATTTTTTTAATCTAAAAGTTCATAAAATCATATTGGATTATTTTTTGTGCAATAGTCTTTAAAAAAACATTGTTTGTCCGACCCGGGGCAGTCCCAAATCGGACTGGAAGGGGGGGCTGGCAATTCCGGGACTCAATACTCGAATCACTCAATTGGTGGAAGTCTCCGAGATTTGTCCTTGGTTTTGGAAGTCTCAGTGATTTGTCCTTGGTTTTGCAAAATTTCATCTGATTTTAAACGAATTTTTGCAGGTGTGTGGCCTGAGTCTGAGAGTTTCAGGGATGAAGGGATAGGACCAGTACCCTCAAAGTGGAAGGGAATCTGCCAAAACGATGACCCCGAAATGCGCCCAGTGAAATGTAACAGGTCAGTTTTGATGCTTCTATACTCTTTATCAAATAAGTCAAATGTTTGTACTTCTTTTTTTATTATTTTTTCTTTTGTTTTTAAATTAAAAGTCCCTTATTTTATCAAAAAGTAAATTGGCTTTGCTTCTTTTTTTATTATTGTTTTAACGTCACTTATTTTGAGTCTTTATCATAAAGTCAAATGTTTTTACTTCTTTTTTTATTATTTTTTCTTTTGTTTTTAAATTAAATTAAAAGTCACTTATTTTTTTTGAGGGGCCCTTTTATATCATTATATATGTTTATGTAGACCTGGAAAGTCTAGTTGGGGTGTACCATTTTGCTATTTTCAAGAACCTTGAGGGTTTCTCTAAAAGTAAAAGTTTATATAGAGCCGAGGCTCTAAAACGATCAAAGTAGAGCTTACTTCATAAATTTCACTAAAAGCAGTTGTTTTGATGCTCAAATATACTTAAATTGATCATCTTGACATCAAGATGCATAGACATGAGAAAAAATGGATAGTGTATTTTGTAACGTATTTTTTGACCATCAATTTTCAAAATTTTCAAGTTTTCATAGATCTGTCGATCTACATTATTTTGAAGTTATAAGCTTTATAAATAAATATGCAAATATATTTTAAGGCTATTACAAATATTGAAACCACATTTCTCGACACTATATGAAGGTAGGCTCTAATTTGATTGTTTGGAGCCTAGGCTGTATACAAACTGCACCCTTTTCTAAATACTTTATCTATCATTATTATTCGTATTTGGGAATATGTAGTAGTACACATACAGTAAAGATTATTCGTATTTGGGAATATGTAGTAGTACATGTACAGTAAAGGAAATTTTTGACAATTTGCTTACTTTTAAGAAATTTGAAATTTCATCTGTAAGTTTCATCAATGAAAAATGTTTGATGATATTTTCCTTAAATTTTTTAAGGAAGTTGATTGGGGTCCGCTACTTCAACAAAGGGTACAATGCATATGCTGCTACACTGAATATCACTCCCCCTGCTCTGAACTCCCCTCGCGATATCGAAGGCCACGGGACACACACCCTCTCAACTGTCGCTGGGTCCTTCGTCCCCAATGCCAGCATTTTTGGTTTTGCCTCCGGCACCGCTAAGGGCGGTGCTCCCGGTGCTCGCGTTGCAGCTTATAAGGTCTTGTTCTTCACCTCTGCAATCTAGAATTAGTGAGGCTTTATTAACTAGAGATCTAGTTAGTTTTATCATTGTTAAAAGAATTTTTACCCCCCCCATAATCTTGGACTTAAACGCCCAAGTACAAAATCAAAATATCAAAGTCTGATCAATGGGTTGGATAGTGATGGAGAGAAAATGGGTCATATCGGCAGTTCCTATCGGATTTACATCACCATCGAACCCACCCATTTTGTCGTGATGACAAAACTCATGACCACATATTTCTTGCAAAGCAATAAGTCCTGGGTTTGAATCTTGGAACTTAGCTACTAATGAGAACATCTACCAATGAAAACATTTACCTTTTTGGTATAAGAAGGTAACAATTTTTTATAACTTTACGATATGAATTCTAATAGCTTGAACGTGTTTCAAAGTTTGAAAAATTTTCTTTTAAACTTTGAGTTTGGTCAATGAAATTAATACAACCACCCAATTTCATATCCAATGGTGAAGATTAATTGTGACCACGTTGTACCAAAGGTAAATGGTCTCATGATATACATTCTTTTTTATCTTTTTGGGTAGTTTTTTTTGTATGTTTATCTTAATATAAATTATACTATAATCCCAAGGAACATAGCAAAATTAAGGTCTTTTTTTGTCATAAGTTCATAACCATTCATCGACAAAATGGACAATGATGGAAATTCATTAAGAACAACTAGTGCATGACCCCGTTCATGGTTGGTAATCCCGTTCATGGATTGTAATGAAACTAAGAGCCTTTGTTTTCCATAGTCCTTAGAATAATGATAACACAATAGTTTTGTGTCAATTCCCTCTCTTATTTGCACCCAGTGTGCTTGTTTTGATGATGTATCATATAAAAAATAGAGCGTCTATTCCAAATTTGAGGTTTTCGACAGGTCTGTTGGCCCGCAACCAAACAGATCCAGGGTGGGTGCTTCGACTCAGACATCCTTGCCAGCTTTGACGCTGCCATCCATGATGGCGTCGACGTGGTCTCTGTCTCTCTCGGGGGCGACCCCTATCCATTTTTTGAGGATGCTACTGCCATCGGGGCCTTCCATGCTGCTCGGAAAGGTATTTCTGTCATTTGCTCGGCCGGGAACTCAGGTCCCACACCTGGCTCTGTGACCAACCTAGCACCTTGGATTCTCACTGTTGGTGCGAGCACTCTCGATCGCGATTTCCCGACTTATGTTTCCATTGGTGGCAAGCATTTAAAGGTTTGTGCTCCACTTTGATATGTCAAATTTTCGCTAGCAATTCACAAAAATTCTAAGATTTAACCAATATTCTTTATCCTAAATCTAGGTTTTACTCAAAATAGATGGTCACAATCCTTCATTGCATTTATTGGATTGACAATGTTGATCCTTATAACCATATATGTGAACACTGTTCACGTATGTCAAGTGTTCACATGAATCATATCATTCTTTCTCAGTTATTAATCGTGATTCACAACACAGTGTGAATAGTATATGCTACAAATTATCTATCTTTTGTACATGAGGTCACAATGTCTTTTAAATTTCAAAATAGGTGGTTGAATAGTATATACAGATAAAGAGATCATTTATTTTTTGTTCATGAAGTCACAATGTCCATTAAATTCCAAAATAGGCGGTTGTAAGAGTATCATTGAATAGATATAAAGTTTCAAACAAAAAAAAAATTCTCGGATTTCGTGACTCATCCCAAGCCATCCAATTTGATATCTAATGAGTGAGAATGATTATGACCTCCATGTACAAAAAATAAATTATCTCTTTGTAGACAATCCCATTAAAAATATTCTCATATAAAAATCTAATAAAAAATATTCTCATATAAAAATCTAATCTTAAGAAGTGTGAGTTACACCGTCCATCCGCATTACTATAGTCTTGATTATGGGGAAACTTAATTTTCAACTTAACAAACGCATGTGTCTATTCTTGGATGCGAAGTTCTACTTCTAAGCCGTCTATTTTAACTGGACAGTGTAGATCAGCTCCATCTTACTTCACAATTAAGGTTGCAGACATTGTATAAACTATTTCTTTCTTCGAATTGGGGACCCAATATATCGAAAATCTGGAAGTCAGAACCAATATTTTATTGTTATTCTTTTAGAAACTCCGCCGAACCTTTGACAGAATCCATTGAGTTTGTCAGACAAACGACTCAGGAGCATAGCGACGGATATCTAGCATATGAGAATGGCTTCCATAGTGAAAACATTTTCCCTTTTCTAAAATTAAAATTTTAGTTTCATTCAAATTTCATATAATATCTACATGAAATTTTTGGTTGCCGAAATTTCTGATTTGAAAATTTGTACAGGGCCAAAGCCTTTCAATTGATACATTGCCACATGAGAAGTTTTATCCTCTGATTTCCGCTGCTGATATCTTAAATCCCCAATCAAATTTTAGCCTTCTAAATGTGTAAGTATACAGTAACAACTTGTATTCCGTTTTCCGTTTTTCAAAATCTTACATAAATTTTATTTTTTCAGTTTTTAAAATTTTTATTTTTATTTTCTTTTGGCAACTAATTATCTCTTCCATATATATCTCACCATGTCAATATAGTGTCTGGGCCTTATTAATGCATAATACAAGAAATTTTGCAGGACGAACTGCTTATTGGGTTCGCTTGATCCAACAAAGGCAAAGGGCAAAATTGTTGCTTGCCTTCGGGGTGATAATGCCAGGGTAGAGAAAGGGGAGGCAGTGAAGCTAGCTGGAGGAGTCGGGATGATCTTATGCAACGATCCGAATTCTGGAAACGAAGTTATAGCCGACGCACATGTGCTCCCTGCAGCCCACCTCACTCTATCTGATGGCGCACAAGTTTTCAGCTACATAAAATCCACCAAGTAAATATCAAGTAAAAATCCAGTTCTAATTTGAATTAATTATTAAAATGTTTTCAGGGGTTTTTGTGACAAACAGCATGAGTGAAGATCCTTTTATCCTGTTTTTATCCTTTTAAGAAAAAAAATTTAAAAAAATCTTTCTGCTCTTTTTACTATGGAAATTTCCTTTGATAAAATGTGATTTGTACTATTTTGTAGTTGTGACATATAAATTTAGATAAAAATCATGAGATTCTTTTGCAAATGTTTTACTTGTCCTTCTTTTACTAACATTATTTTGTGGTTGACTCTCATAGACCACCAGCTTAGCTTACAGAAGATGATCCAAATTGAGGCCCGATTCCAAATATGCATAGCCCCATTTTGAAATTATTATTCGTTTATTTTTATTTGAAACACCTAGATACATGCAAAAATTAGAACCCTACTTTTTAGTTGGGTCATTCAATTCTTTACACTCTATCCCCCATGTAAAATTTGGAATCTATGTGCATTACTACCGGCCTTGCACTAAAATGAGGCAGAGTAACATGTGTGAGTCCGAATCAGATTCGGTCCAGTTTTAAATCGCTATCACTACCCTACATTATTGTATAGACGAGCATTTTTCCCATATTGATTTGGTGAAATTGGGTATTTTGTAGTGTGTTCTTTTGTATAAAATAACACAAATTTGGTATTTGGTGTGGTACATTATAGTACATTTTTCCTTGCCTGGTTTTTGTGAAATTGGTGCTTTGTAGTGTGTTCTTTTAAATAAAACTAACACAGAATTGGTATATTTTGTTTTATGGTGTTTTCTAAAAGGTGTGGTTTCTATAAGGTTGCAACCTTAAACAATTTGGCTTCTATAAGGTTGCAACCTTAAACAATCTAATTAAAACGCACCTCCAAATTGGTGTAAAATATTATTAGAATTATCTAAAAATCTACCTTCATATCTAATTACAAAATTTTAAACTCTAAAAATAATTAAAATCAAATAGATCTATAAATATATAAAAATTTTGAAAATGGACGGTCTAGATGATATGTTGCAAGATGCACTATTTTTTATACTCAAATTGTATTTTTTTTATCTTCAAACATCAGATAATCAATTAGAGAGTTTTTCAACATTAAAAAGATTTTGAGGTGCATCTTTAATGCTACATTTTCTAAAAGGTAAGTTCTATAGTCACAATTTCCCCATAAACTTTTTGCTGTTGATTTTTTCGTTGCAAATGGGGACTAAAAAATTTGATTTATTTGTTGCAGGAATCCTATGGCATATATCACACGTCCAAACACGAACCTGGGTTCTACCCCGGCTCCTGTAATGGCAGCCTTCTCCTCGCAGGGTCCAAACACTATCACTCCCCAAATACTCAAGGTTTGCAACTAAGAGAGAGAGAGAGCTGTGATGGTTCATAGATTTTAGAGCGGGGGTGGCAAAGGGTCGGGATCGGGTCTCGACTAGGTGATCAAGATGTCGAGATCGGATCCCGACTAGGTGATCCAGACTCCAGACCCACACTCGGGACTAACATGTGTTTGTGAAGAGGGGTGAAAATAATTGGAAAAAAACTTTGACAATGATGATGATTTTATACTAATGATTTAGTTTTATTTATATATAACGTCAATATATTCAAGTCGGATTTGAGTCGGGTTAAGTTGCCCACGACCCAAACCTTGACCCGGTCGGGTCAAGGTCAAATGGACCCAAACCCGATCCATCGGGTCCATTGTCTAGTTCGAAACCCGAACCCCTTCAGGTCAACCTGTCGGCTCCATGGGTATTTGTGATTGAGTTATTTTATTAGTTCTAGTAGGGGAGAGGTGGCATGGGTGAGTGGAGAGCCATGCTAATTTTTGTACGTTGATGAGTGAATTTTCTAATTAAATACAGACTTTTCTATTTTTTCTCCAAAATTTTTAGAATTTTATCGAGCCATTTGTCAATTTTGTTCGCATTTCACTCTATAAATCAATTTTTTCACCATAACAAATGATGTACATGTACAACCAAATATTAGTATCTAATGGCTTGGAGTGATTGTAATCTCCTCATGGTATAGATAAATGGTTTTATAGTATCCAATCTCTTATTTATAAATGAAAATAATTTATTTAAGGGCAAAGCCCTAAACAATCATTTTAAGGTGCACTTAAGAAAGTCACTAGACAAGGTTCTTTGATGCCCATAAATTCTCAATCATCGCAACTTCAAAAAGGACATCAAGAATGGATTAAAAGTCTTGAAAATTGTGCATCTTACAATGCATTTTTTAGATAGTCATTTTTCAAAAAATTTCAAATATTCAAAAATCTGCCCTCAGTTTTTTAAGTTCTAAATTTTATAATTAAGAATAAAAGAAATTTTCATGCCATCACGAAAATTTTTAATACTGAAATATCTTGCGATACTATTTCAATACTATTTGAAAGTGCAGATTACTTGGATTGTTTAGCACCTCTGCTTTTGCAAACTACACCCTAACTTTACTATTTCTTATTGCAGCCCGATATAACGGGACCAGGCGTTAGCATATTGGCAGCGTACACTGAGGCAACGTCGCCGACTGATATGGAATATGACAAGCGGAGGGTGTCATTCAACGTTGTCTCAGGGACCTCCATGTCCTGCCCTCACCTCTCTGGTGTCGTTGCTCTCATCAAGGCCCGTCACCCCAATTGGTCCGAGGCCGCCATCAAGTCTGCTATCATGACCACAGGTACGCTCATTAATATTTATTTTTACATTTTCTCATTTATTTTGAAAAAATTTAAAAATAAATCAAGGGCAAATTGATTTTTTTTTTTAATTAATTTTTTCACTAATTTTTCCACTGTATTTGGATGTGTTTGGTTTATTCATGTATTAAATATATTTTTCATAGTTTTAAATTTTTTTATGTTCTTTTTAACATGTACTGAGTAACCTGTACCAAGCTCTAGTTTTTGAGGCCGGTTTGAGTTTTCGAATACCGCTCTCTACAACTATATTTCTCAAATTGTCTCTTTTACAAGTGTTTTTATCTCTAGGATACATTATTCAGCATGTATTTTCTCTCTCTAGCTCACCGCCGCGACAATGTGGAATCGGCGGTCAAGGATGCGTCTTTGGAGAAGGCCACCCCATTCAACTATGGCGCGGGCCATGTCCGACCCAATGCTGCAGCCGACCCCGGCCTTGTCTATGACCTTACCCCAACAGACTACCTCAATTTTCTCTGTTCCCTTGACTACAACCAGAGCTCAATCTCAGCCATTACTGACCAAAACTACACCTGTCCAACCCCTAAACCCAAATTACTAGACTTTAATTACCCCTCTTTCTCCATCACTAATCTCACAAGTACGGTCACCGTCACACGTGTGGTGAAGCTCGTCGGTCCACCAGCAACTTACACTGTGCGAGTGCAGTCGCCTACCGGTGTTTCGATCGAAGTTTCGACGAAAAGCTTGAGCTTTGAGAAGGAGGGAGAGGAGAAGAGCTACACTGTGAAGTTTACATTGAAAAGCAAAAATTTCGGCAATTATTCATTTGGAAGGTTGATTTGGTCCGATGGTACCCACTATGTCAGGAGCGCAATTGTGATCAATGGGGTTTAGTACTTTTTTTTTTTTTCCTTGGTTTTAGTTTAGTTTCAGGGTTTTCTTGAATGAATACTTACAATGGGGAATAAATCACTGAAAGAAATGTTAAATGGGGTAATGATTTTGTGGACTTTGGTTCTAGATACTCTTTATATTTATATGGCTTTTGTCCAAAAAAACAAATAATGGTCGCCATTAGATTCTTGATGGTGCATATGTGTATATTTGCGCAAGTTTGAGAGGGTGAGATGCTGTTTGTAAATGAAGGCGGCATGATTATTCAAAAAGAGAGATTTTCCTTGCAAATTAGCAATAATTAAGTTTTGAATAATCTCAGAGAGGGAGATTACTGATGAGAATCCGTACGTTTGAGTGGTTTATTCACCTAGCCCTCCAGGAAAATGGAGCTGCTGTCTGGTTTTTCTACCTTGTTACAAATAATCAAAAGAAAATATAATGAGTGAATTTCATATGGTTTTTCTGCCTTCTTACAAATAATCAAAAGAAAATATATAATGAGTGAATTTCATAGTATATTGTTAATGTAACTACAGATTCATGACATCGTATTTAGTTAAATAAAACTAAACAAATTTAAGGGTGCGGTTTGTATAGAGCCAAGGCTCTAGACAATCAAACTAAAGTGCACCTTCAAATAGTATTGATAGTGAGATCTATGAAAACTTGAAAATCTTAAAACTTGACGGTCCAAAAATACGTTACAAAATGTTTTATTTCTAAAACTTGAAATCCATTTTTTTTTCATGTTCATGTATCTTGATGTCGAGATGATCAATTTAATCATTTTTGAGCATCAAAACAACCTCTTCTAGTGAAAGTTTTGAGGTAGGCTCTAATTTGATTGTCTAGAGCTTAAGCTCTATACAATGGTAATATTTTTTTTGAATCGCCTTGATAAGTGTTAGAGGGTGACAGAGGTGCATGCCTCACCGGACACACCAAACACTTTTCCCTAATTATAATCACAACAAGCTTGTGATGGTACCAATTACTAGGACGTTTAGTGTGGCTCCAACTGCAAGTTATTCAATTGATTTTGAGAGCACCAGCAATATAGTTATTCAATGTGTATTGCTATTCGGAAAAGTATCAAGTGATTTAGAAAAAGAGTCCCGGTTTAATTGGTTAGCGTTTGACAATTTGCAACACTACATCCTAGATTCAATTCTTACCAAGAGGCCCTCTCCCCATTCTCCCACTAACTCACCCAAAAAATTTATTTGGTGATTTGTCCGACTCATATTGTTCCGAAATCTATGTTCGGTCCCCTTTCAAAATCTATCTCAAAGATGGATTTTTCGATCCAAAATGTTAGGGTTTGTTAATCTCAATTTGTTATTACATCATGAATCTAAATTATTTTTTTTTGGGAAAATATAAAGGGTGCGGTTTGTATAGAGCTGAGGCTCTAAACAATAGAAGTAAAACACCCCTTCAAAAAGTGTCGAGAAATGTAGTTTCAATACTGGAAATCTTTATGATAGCCTTAAAATATATTTTTATATTTAATTATAAAATTTAAAGCTTAAAAAATGGTGTAGATCAGTAAGATCTATGAAAACTTGAAAATCTCAAAAATTGACGGTCTAAAAATATGTTACAAGATGCATTGTTTTCAAAACTTGAAATCTATTCTTTTCTCATGTCCATGCATCTTAATGTCAAGATGATCAATTTGATGATATTTGGGCATCCAAACAACCTCTTCTAGTAAAATTTTTGTGGTGGACTCTAATTTGATTGTTTAGAGCCTCGGCTTTATATAAACTTTTTCCAAATATATATGGTGTTTATTTAATTTATTTTTCAATGGATTTACCAGTTTTTGATGTCCATCTTAGAAGTGGAAATTTGATGCATAAGGGAGTGCACAACAATAGGCAAGTCCGCGGACTCACTAAAACCATATCCTTGTTACTTCACTCAAGTTTATGGTACTTGTGACATCAGCCGTTCACTATAAAATGCGGGCAGCTGATATGAATCAAGTTCATCAAATCAGCTTGAGCATATAAACGATTAACAACCATTCATCTAGATCATTCCATGTACTATTATCTGGAATTTTCATGCTATATCCCCTTAGATGACACACGCTTACAAATTGTCTAACACAGTAGGAAGTTATGGGAGGACGCACATAAGTAATTTGCTTACACTGAATAAAAAAATAAATGAATTTAAAATGATAATTATGCAATCTTTAATGATACTATTAAATGGTAAGCTTTGATGATACAATTAAATGGTAAGTAATAATATTATGATTCATATTTTTCTTTTAAGTTAGTCGAGGTTTTGTGTGAAAATCGCCCTCGTTTATTAATTTGTAGGGAATGTATAGAAAAACTCTCTTTTATTTTGAAAATTAAAAATAGTCTCATATATTTTCTATTTTACACTCAAGTTCTATTTTTTGAAAGTATATAGTGTGTTTCTATAGATCAGGTTGAGCTCAAATTTGGTATATTAATATTTCTCACCATCAAACACATATAAAAAAGGGTGTGGTTTCTATAAAGTTGCAACTTTAAACAATCCAATTTAGGTGCACCTCCAAATTTTATTATAGCATGCAAATTTGATGTAAAGTATTCTTAGGATTATCTGAAAATCTATTTTTATATCCAATTATAAAATTTTAAACTCCAAAAATGGTTAAAATGAAGTAGATCTATAAACATATGGAAATCTTGAAAATAGACGGTCTCGATAATGTGTTGCAAGATGCACTATTTGTAGGATTCGGAATCTTTTATTTTTCCCATATTCATACATCTCGATGTCGAGATGATCTATTGGAAGATTTCAAAATTCAAACAATCTTTTCCGATGGATTTTTTAGGCGCATATGTAATTCTATATTTCAAGGTTGCAACCTTATATAAACTTTTTCCTATAAAAAATGTTAATAAATAATCTAAGTAAATAGAATTACTAAAATAAAAATACCAAAATACCCTTAAATAGTATAGGCCTATTTTGGGTATTTACTTTTTAAAATTATTTTTAAATATTTTTTATAAGTATATGATGGTAAGAAGTAAGGATATATCAAATCTGAGATTAATCCAAAGCATAGAAAATATATACTTCCCCCATCCAGCCATCTTATTTAGATCAAGTGAGCCACTGACAGTTGGATCAAGAACCGACACCTTAGAGTATTTTATGTTAGTTTATTATCTACAAATTGTATGAAAATTGAAATTTGGTACATACCATCTTCTCAATGGGCCGCACCTTAAAAAAATAATAGAAATAAAATGACCAAAATACCCCTTGAATCTGTTAGGGGTATTTGGTCATTTTATTCTATTGGGAATATGTTTTCATACTTTTTGCAAGTACGAGTTTAAGATAGGCGTGAACGTCCAAAATTTGGTGCAAAAATAATTTGTATAAAAAAAATTTAAAAATGAAATAGTATAGAGACGTGACATTGTGACTGGGGCCATCTGAGCTGTCCATTCAGAATGGACGGCTGTATAGGGAGAAGTATATAAAGTTTATGCAATAGGGGAAACACACAAAGCTTGCCCACATATAAAACAAGAGATCAAAGTGGGATTGAAATATGAAATTTTTTTTAAATTCCCAAAATGACATGATTTTAATATAAATCTCCTTAAGATCTGCAATTGAAGATATGATATTTATAATGAGTCCCACTAGAACTTGATTTTTATCACTCCATATATATAATGGCGTCACTCCATTTGCTCTCTCTAAATTCTCATAACGCGGGGACGGAGCGTCTCTGTTTCTCACTCACCATTACAGCTCTCTCTAAACTCATCATTTTTATGTATTTCCTGCTCTCTTTCGTTAGCTCTCTTACAGCAAGGGCCAGCAGATGACAAAGCCACAAATCATCCATGCATTTGCCTCTTCGTTTCTCCCTCTAGATCTCTAAAAGCTCAGGACCCAATAACCTCTCTCTCAAACCAAAGCTTCCCTTCTCATTTTCATTTCCCAAAAATGGAGAGCATAAGGAGCTATTGGGGTAAGAAGAACTATCAATGCTTGAATCGCTCTAGTTCGAGAAGAAGCAGAGTGGAAGTGCCAAGTTTGGACGTGTTGAAGCTTGGAGCAAAAGATGGATGGTTTTTTTACAGAGATAGGATTTGGGGTTTTCAGTTCTTTCGGTATTGAAGCTTGGAGAAAAAGATGGATGTTTTTTAACATAGATGGGATTTGGGGTTTTTGGCTCTTTCGACGTTGAAGCTTGGAACAAAAGATGAATGGTTTTTTCAAAGATGGGATTTGAGGTGCTTGGTTTTTGG